TTCGCGGTTATCTTCCCAGATACATTCCGCACCGAAACCGAGATAGCCGTCTCCTGGGCAACGCCTTGTCCGGTCCCCAGGGGTCCAAAAGTGTCAAAATTGCCTCATAGACCCAACTTTGACCGTTCCTAGGGGGTGGAAGGGGTGCCGATGGGCCAAAATGGCCCCGGCAGCTGTTCTTAGGATATCTTCAAGTACTTGAAACGGAGTCTACTTTTTCGATCCCAGATTTTCACTCCACCTTACTGCCCGGCCGAGACGATTTTCATTTTCATCTCTTGTAGAGGATTGTCTGAAGATTGTCTGAGGCGTCAAAGTCTGGGAACGCATTGCCAATCCGCAGACAAACGGGAGTCAATCCTCCTCAGTCTAACTGGGCTGAAGATCGACTGCCGATGGACTGCGGTCTGGCTGTGGTTTGTCTGACGTTTGTCCGCCGTTTGTCGATGAGGATAGTCAGCAGTCAGCCGTTAGGCTACGGTTTGGCTGCCGATAGACTGACCGTAGACTGACGATGACCTGCCGTTTAACTGCGCTTTACCTACGAATTAACCGTCACCCTCGACAAGATTCATACAACATTCAGGCTATTACTTTGCCTCGTGGTGTTTGAGTCCCAGGCTATCGTCTCGCACGCGGCGCGGTAGCTCATCAAATAGGGTATTCCGGGTAAGCTTGGCGCCGGAAATGGGAGGCGAAGATGGCGCATGTCCGCTCTGCCAGCCTCATGGCTTCTGTATCCGTGCGTCTGCTGTCCATTGCTCTGTCGCGTTTGTTAGCGACGACGTCTTGCTTCAGATTATGACAATTTCGTGTCATTAGATCAGCCAAACTATTTTGAATAATATTTTCATTCTAAACATCGAGATTGAAATCCAGACCACCACCCGAGGGGTGCCTAACTCCATAAAAATGTGTACACCGGATTACCAAATTGTAAAGATTACCAATGATTACCAAAGATTACCAAAGATTACCTATGCCTAATGGGTATGATCCACCTGCATTCTAAATCGAAACGGCCATTTTTTGTTCCGAGAAAGATGGATTTTTGTGCAACTCTTTGGTAGCTCTTGATTCTTTACCATGCTGTTACAAATTTGCATTCTATGATTGGCCAAATTGTGATTTTGTCATGGGAGGGATGCAAAGATGCCATTTAGGCAAGCTATGACCAAAAATTCATGTCTAAATCAACAAATTTGTCCTTTTAAAGGACCCCCACGAGTGTGAGGATTACCAGGGATTACCAGTGATTACCAGTGATTACCAAGTCTGTGTACACCTGATTACCACAGTTGGGCACCCCTCGCCACCACCTAACCTAACGCCACCGTGCAGTTGACCGCAGACGACCGGATCGAGAAGCCGCGAGGCTGAGATTCGACCAGCGCTATCCTCGCCTCTCGTTTCCGGCGCTTCGCTTGTCCGGAATACCCTATTTGTTCGATAAAACAAAATCGGTTATCGGAGCGCAGCGGTGATGAAATGGTTCGGGGTTCAAGTCCCGGACGGTGCCTGCGCTCTCCGAAGGACCGCCTGCAGGAGGTACTGATCTAGGGATAGCGGAGGACGGATAGCTGTAGAGGTAATTGAGGCCAAGTCCTTCCGAGATATTTATTGTTATCATTTTACTAGAGGAAGTCATTTTACTACTGTGGATACCAAAAGTTCATTTTAAACAACAAGTTTGTAAAATTACTATGGTGGATACGAGAAGGTCACTAATTATGTATTTAGTAATTTTACCGGTGTGGGTACGTAAAAATGCTCCTATTTTAGCGGGAAATTTGTGGATCCTCTGGACAAGTATATTTCAATGCGCAGTGGACACAAATTTCTGCGCCATGGTGTGCACCAGGTGCGTTTGCTACCAAAATTTGTACTATTACTCCGAATGTTTTTTTCCGGGTTATTCACTAGAACAGGCGGAGAACCGTCTTCTCACACCTAACCCCTTGAGTATTTCTATTAGAGAAGGTCTCAATTTTTCTCTGTATGTTACAGCATCAAATCACTGGCGGGTACAGCCATGGTGGATCCTGCTATTCAGGTAAGACCCTTCTTCAGCAAGAAGCAATGATCAGCTGTTCAGCCGACGCTGATGAAGTTCTCGGACTCGGGGTCTAGGACAACTCGTCCCGGCCGACTCGTTCCCGGCCCAATACGTCTCGGGGTTATCCCGTCCACTGTTAAAAATCCCGTAACCAATTACGGTTCTGGTGCGGGATTTTCTTTTACGGTGACTAACGGTCAAAACAATCCTAGGGCCTGACCGTATATCAATGATATTGTCAGCACCGCAACTTTATGATTAGGCTCAGACCGTATTTAAATATATTGGATCACCGTAATCATCTGTAATGGTCATGACCGTTAAATAAATTACGGCAGATACTAAAAGCTCCAACCGTTATGATTCACCCACCACGCAAGCTTGTCATAAAATTTATCCATAACCAGCATGTCATCAGAAATCACCTATGTAGAATACTCAATGAAGTTTGTTTTTCCAAATCAATACAAGTGCCTATTACCCTAGCACTGCGACAACAATCTGACAAGCCTGCGCAGGCATCTGCAGCATGTATTCACTTTTAATTAGGTATCACATCTCCATCCAGTCCCTTTTCCTTGTATATACAAGTGTAAGAAACACTGGCATTTGCAGTCGGGTGGTCGGGTCACACCCCCAGCCCCCAGCTGGGCCAAGGCCAGGCAGCCGCCTAGCCTAGGCGTCACTTCTCGCATAGAGTAAATTATTGCTGTCCACAGAGTATGTTTGGTCCTCGGTACTTCACTGATCTCAGATTTAAACCAGCATCGACAAGAGTCGACTGTCATTGTCCGCAGCTCAACGAAATCACTGAAAACTTGCATTTCACTTTTCACAATATCCCCTTCGATCAGTGCGCGGCAGGGTTGTTAACGATACAAAAAAAAGGATCGCGATACGTTACGATAACATTCAATCCGAGTTATCGTAATGCGATACTATACACCTCTGATCAAAAATGTAACGCGTTACGTTACGATATATCGTCGTAACGTCGTTACGATACGGTCTCAAACAGAAAAAGAGCTTTAAAACAAGAAAATTGGTGGTATTGAGCTACCCAGTCAACACGATGTCTGCTTTTTGGGAGGAAAAAGGGAAAAATCTGAGGAACTCCAATATTTGAAGGCATGCTCTTAAGATTTTGAGGAAGTATCCTCAGACGGATCCTAGGAATTTGCCTCATTTTTAGAAAAGATCTTAATCTGAGAAGTTTCTTCTCAGATGTGCTCGAGTTCGTCGAAGTTTTCCCTTTTTCCTTGTGATTTCCTGTCCGACTGTAAAATCACTTGTATCGTATCAACGTTACGGGTCCTCTAGATCGTATCGCGTTACAATACACCGTCGGCCGTAAAAGTAACGCGTTGCGATATCGATACAAAAATCGTATCGATATCGTCGTTACGCGATAAAATATCGTTAACAAACTTGGTGCGCGGTCGCCATTTTCAAAACGAAAACTTCTAAGTTTTGTTGTTATGACTTTCGATTGCTTATAAACAGTCAACAAGTTGCTGTAGTACTCTGCGAATAGTCAATTCGATCTTCCACTGTTTGTCGTCCGCTCGAACGAAAACACAACAAATCGTCATTAAATGGTTGTGTCGAATAAGCATCTTTTGATGTAGCCGGTTAAAATTGGGGTGCTGCTGTATTTCGGCACGGCGAACACGATAGCAGGCGAAAAAGGCGGTTATAAGACTTAAATCCAACTGTTAGTCACTGCCGAGGGGGAAATCACCTGCGAAATATAGTTCGCACACCTTCCCCCGAAGTAGCCCGAAATAAAGGTGAAATAGAGCGAAATAGACGCGAAATAGTCGGTGAAATAGTCGCGAAATATCCCTGATATACTCCGAAATACCCTGAAATAATTTATTGAAATAGGCGAGAAATAGCCGAAATGGCAGGAGAAATACCACGAAATAGCCCGTATGTTACGAACCCAAGTGATTTCCCCCTCGATCACTGCAGCGAGCCGCAGCCCTGCATTTGCGGAGTTAAACTGTTAGACCATAAACTATAGCCCAGCTAGAACCAACAATGGTTCGGGACCAGTTGGCTGCCCTGTGGGCCGAGTTCAAAAATGAACCCCTAACGAGATAGGGTCGGGACGTAGTGGGCCGAGTACGAGTTGGCCAGGACGAGTTGTCCTGCTCGTCACTAGAG